AATAAACTTATAATCCAAGGAAAGGGCTCTTTGGAACAATTTTGGATACATCGGAACCGCTACATAGCTAATGTTTAGCCATTAAACAAGCTGGTCACCATCAAAACTTCAGTCCTTTACTCACCAGCTGCTGTCTCATAGGTGGAGAAGGAAATACCAATGTTAATGTGGGAGCCATATATTGGTTCTGATCGTTTATTTTGTGTTTGATTAGTTTTGTCTTGTTGCCCATGGCGGGGATATGCAGTGTTTTGGGTCACAGTGAGCACCGTTCGTATAACAGCCCGGTAGGTTATATCATAACCTGCTTCACCTGCACTGGGAGAGTGAGGCGAGTCTATGTAGCCGTAATTTTTGTGACCCCGCTTTTACCATCGCTTTTGTTCTTTTCGTTTGCTGGATACACGTACGCCAAAGTGTACACATTAACATCAAATGGGCGAAGTGTAAAGCCGGCTGTATTATCGATTGATAAATATTAAAAACCTCCGAAACTCTCTGGACTCAGTGTGCTTCTCTAAACAGCAGCAGCGTGTCATACAATATACATGACCTATCTGCCTCACAAGCACTTTCTAAGGTACTAGAAAGCGCCGCAATATTTTGTCAACAAAAAAGGCATCAATTAATTTAAAAGTGATCGCTTGCAGCAACAAAGCCAATCTCAGGACGCACAGCGCAGCGGACCTAAATAAAGTAAGACAAAGCGCACGTCATTACATCTGTCAAGGAGGACAGGTAAACTAAAGCTCACCTGTGCAATTGTATGTGTGCGGTTGAAGAAATCCAGATTTTGCATCAAGGTCGAAGTGCCTCTGTTTTGAAAAGTCGAGATGAATGAATGCTGGTCGGATAAGCGAAGTTGGCGTCTTGCACTTTGATGCTGATATGCAAAGCTTTATTGATGTGGCATGGAGAACGCATGCTGCTTTGTTGAAATGAAATGTCCTGATTTTTGCTGTGCATTGTGATGGGATTTAAATGTTACAGTTCACTGAAAACTGACATTGAAAAAGTTATAAAAATGAGTCAAAAACAAATGAACTGTAGCTGACAAATGGAGTCTGGAGAAACAAAGGGAGATGGAAAACTCACTGAAAAAAAGGGTTTTGAATAAGATTGAAAACCTGCAAAATAAACGCAAACGTGATGTTGATAAAACAAAGGTTTAATTACCAAAAATAAAGGGCTCATGAAACAAAGAGAAAATTGTTGGATGTGAAGCAATGTTTTTCGGAGAATTTAAACCACACTGTGTTGAAAAATGCCACAGCCTCACAACAATGAACTGTCTGCCTCTATTCCCTGACGGGGAACTAATCAACCAAATAGGAATGGTTTTCAATTCATATGAATTACAGCATTACATTTCAAAGGACACTCAAAATTGGATGAGAAATGGACAAAAAAATCTCTCAGGAGCAACAGGATCAGCAGAAATTCAATTACCAACAAAAGAACGAACCAAGTCAAATTGAGATGGCATTAATCCAAATGAACAGTGTTTTCAAACATTGGAAAGCCACCAAAACATCATCAGTCAACAAGGCTCTTCAACCTCTTCTTGCACGTTTTAAAGGCCGAAGTCTGAGCTGGCGCCTTAAGTATGAGGCACAATTATTAAAGAAAAGCATTGCTTTGGAAGAGAGAGCAACGCCTGCGCAAACAGGAAAGAAAGGAGCGCCAAACTGGCACTGAGATTGCTGAAAAAATGGGCAAAACTTGAAATTCTCAAATACAAGCCCAACAAGTGAAACGGACATCAAAAGGTCTCAGGATGGAATGAAAACATATTTGGAAAAGGCACAAGCACAGCAGGTTACTTAATGTCAATGCAGATGAATTTATTCCAAAACAAACTGAAGCAAACCACGAAATCCAAATATAACCCTCATAGAACAAAACCAAATGCAATTTCATATGAACCCCCTAATCGACATACATGAATCATATGACAACTTATGGAAGTTAACACAGTGGGTCTGACCCAAAGAGGAAGTTTCTTGGCATCATGAGGAAACAAAATGAAGATAACAAACTTGCCAATACACAGCAAAGCCTTTCAGCTCTACCTAGAGAGATATCCCAATTATGACGGTTGATCCATTTGAAATTAACCCACACAATTCATCAGAGCCTTGAGAACGGAGTCGAGAGGAACACAAACTAACAGCTGGATCGCTTATATTTTTTGGAACAACACACAAAAGGGTCATTTGCTAAGGAGCTTTAATAAAGCTGTCAAACACATTACATCCAGAACGAAGGATATACAAAGCCAAAGCTTTATTAAAAAGAGCAGTTTCGGGAACGAACCAAAAGGTCGCCTCTGCTTACCGGATAAAGGCCTCCATGGCTCCAATTAAAGCCAGAGGATGTGAAGGTTCTTTGCAAGGGACTACAGTCCTTCTTAGAGACTGCTTGTAATTGCCATGGAGATGTACAATATCTTTTCAGAAATGGATATGCCTCCAAACTGTTTGAGCCATCATTAAAAAGCTGCCTTACAAAACTTAGAGATAGTGGAGGAACCTGCCTGTGAGGCTACAAGGAACGAACAATAACCGGGAGAGTTAAGTTCACAAGATATTTGCTAACTTTTATTGAAAGACAGGTGAAATTTTGAACAAGATCCTGTGTTTGGCAATATAACAAGACTCTCAATCAATAATCATAAGTAACAGAATAAACCAAACCCAAGTCACAGTTTCGTCCTGGACCACAAGGGAAGCAGTTTGCTTACCAATGTAAGGCCCTTTGGAGAACAAAAGATCAGTCTGTAAGGAAAGAAAAAGGAAAATTTCAAAACAAAAAACGGAAGGAAAGCATGCATCTGCTGGGAGGAGGACACACATTTAGATGTATGTGTACAGCATGGGAAAAATGGTTCATGAGAAGAAGATTATGCTTTCTTGAAAGGAAAATGGCATCCATGTTTTTGTTGTTTGTCACTAGGCACATCAGTAGAGATCCGTTAAAAGGATTTCCTGCTCTAAATGTAGCCTAGACATCCCACTGTACTTCATAAGGAACCTTTAAAGATTTCTGAGCCAGATGGAGAGGAGCCCAGGGGCCGCATGTTGACAACACCCACTGGTGTCAAGGTGGTTCTTACAGGGAGGCTGGAGATCAGGACTGCCAAACTGCCCATTGTTCCGGTCCAGGTTAAATCTAAGAAGGGAACCAAAACTGTCATCACTTACGCTTTCTGGACAAGGGGAGACGGCTGTATTTTTGCACTGAGAGCTTTAATGCACAAGGCTTTCCACCTCACAGGGAGGATATGGACGCCATTTCTACTTCGAACCATGGCCAGGAGAAAGTCGTAAGCAAGCAACATCGTGTCAGGATTGGGAGGTTGCAAGCACTGGAAGGGGGACAATTTTCTTGAGCTTCCAAAGAGTTTTACACGGCAAGAGTCATCCTTGAACAGAGGAAATATTTCCACTGGAAGGGCAATAATTGATAACTCAGATGCGTCACATCTGAAGAAGTCATTTCGCTTAGTATACCTCAGTATTGACTGTAAGGAATTTGAGCTTACTTATAGGTACCTCAATGATATACACTAAAGGGCACCTGCGAAGCGACACTAAGTGGTGCTCTCTCTCTCGGGACACACTCATGCGATCCGAACTTTTTTGCTGGGCTGGACTGTCAATTGGTCACTGACACGGTAGCAGTGGAAGAGACCGTTAAGTGGGAGCATCCTCAATAACTGTCAACAGAGTTGCAGTCGTTGAACCTGGGATGACCTCTTGGCAACCAACAATTTAAGAATGACTTATGTCCCTGACAAGCCTATTGAGGAGCAAACCAGGAATGTCAAGGGAGGATTCAAAGGTCTTGGATTGTTAACAAACACAGGGGAAATACAGCGTGGAAGAGCATTACCAGATTGCGTACCTTAAGGAAAGGGACGTCAGAATGCCAAACAACAGCGAGAGTCTGTATGAACAGCGCCTGTTTATTTTAAAAGGAGGTTTCAAGAAGGACCTCAATATTTTCATACGAGATTAACACCTTCATTAAAGGGACCTCTGGCTACAAGGCTTATGCAGAAAGGTGCCCGAAGAAGAGTTGGAAATCGTGCGAACGGATGGGAAGATGGTACATACCACACCACGGAGTCTACCATCCCACTAAAAGAAAGATCAGCAGTTGTGTTTGACTGTGGAGCAAGATATCAAGGAACAATCACTAACATGCCTCAGCTTCTACAGGGCCGACTTACCAGTTCCCTGAATTGGAGTGGTGACTGGTTTAGGAAGGAATCAGTTGTTGATTTATGGCCATATAGAATCAGATGTTCCATCAGGTCAAGTTCCCTCCTGATGACAGAGACCTTCCATTCAGGATTTCCTCTTGGTTGGCCAAATGGGGGATACGCAGCAGCTACCCATTGAGCATTGGATGAAGGTTGCCACTTGTTTGGGGCGACATCATCTCCCAGGTTGTGCAACTTCGCCTCAGAAAGTGGTGCAAGAGGACCACGGGCAATCACTACAGTAGGAAACTGCTGGATAAACTACTGCACGTTTTTATGTGGATGATTGCCTCGTGTTGGTGGCCACGGGAGAAAGGAAGCAGTGATGCTTTACAGGAACTCGTCTCTTTGTTTCCAAGGGTGGATTTTTTCTCGGCAAATTTGGTTGATAACAGACTGGAGTGTTTGAAGTCATCCCAGAGAATTACAGAAGCAAAAGGCATTGAAGGATTGGACATGAAACTGAATTCGCTACCTGTAGAGAGAGTGCTCGGGTGTTGGAATGGAGCATTTAAATCAGACTCCTTTCAAGTTCAAAATGGTACTTAAGGACAGCCACTACCAGAAGAGGGAATTCTCTCGACTTGTCAGCTCCATCTATGATCCCCTTGGAATGCTGAGCCCTGTTTGTTTTAACAGCGAAGAGGATCTGCAGGAGACCTGTGTGGGAGAGGGATAGGCTGGATGACATTTGTTGCCTGAGTCCAGTCTCTTAAAGAGTTGGTTGGATTGGCGCAGCAAGCTGCCATCTGTTGGAAAGATTTGAGGTTCAGCCAGATGTATGAAGCACCAGGCTTTGGAAGGGAAGCTTACTTCCAGCCCAGTTTGCATCATTTCTGCATGCCAGTAAACATTGTGATATGGAACAGTTGAACATTACCTGTTGTTGAAAGCCAAGAATTAGTACACAGCTCCTCGGAATTCTTGGGGCCTTATGGGGACGATGTTGATAACAGACCTTCCGACGAAGAGGATTCATTCGTCATGGTGCGAATCTAAACCCGGAGCAGCTATGCCTGGACCGGCCCATCACAAAAGCTTTGCTTGTTGCAGGAGGCTTGACGCCATTTTGAGGGATACGATGGCTTCAGTTGTGATTTTCTTTTTTTCTCTTCTCTCTCTTTTTTTGGACTGTACTAGACTCTTTACTGAACTTTTTGGCTGTTTGACTTTGATTCAATGAGACTGTGGAACAATAGTCATTATGATTCAAGAAAGAAAGAAGGAAGAGTTCGTGTGATTAATTAATGGACCATTAAGTTTTGAACTTTATTGTTGAATAATTTTCATATGGTTATGTCTCCACGTGATATGAGAGTAATATTAATTTACATTAACTCCAATAAATTAGGGGTGGTGTGTAGGAGCCATATAATTGGTTCTTGATCGTTTATTTTATGTTTTGCATTTTAGTTTCGTTTCTTCTCTCTGGGATATGCAGTGTATTGGGGTCAGTGAGAGCACGTCGTTGACAGCCGGTAGGTTATATCATAACCTGCTTCACCTCACTGGAAGTTGAGGCCGAGTCTAGGTAGCCGTAATTTTGTTGACCGCTTTTACCAATCGCATTTTTGTTTCTTTCGTTTGCTTGGATACACGTACGCCAAGTGTACACATTTAACATTCATAATGGGCGCGTTGGTAAAGTCCGCTGTATTATCCGATTGAAAAATTAAACCTCGAACTTCTCTGGACTCAGTGTGCTTCTCTGAAAACAGCAGCAGCGTGACATACAATTATACATGACTATTCTGACCTCACAAGCGACTTTCTAAGGTACTAGAAAGCCGCAATAGTTAACTCTAACTCTTCTATTTCTATCACTTCTATTCTTCTACTGAAGTTAGCATGCTAACAAGCTACCTCCAGTATTTGGTAGTAGCTGCTCAGGGGGACGAATTATAACCTCTTTTATTGTAAACAATCTTGATATTTCCATTTCTTATGTTCCAACAGGACAAAATATTTAAGCAGCTTAAATGTTAAGATAAGTGAGCTCCACAAGGATCTTATGTTTTTTTTATTGTCCAGTCTGAAGCCCAGGAGCTGACTATAGTCAAGATGTCTAAGTTTGGAGGAGGCATTGGGGCTCCCAGTAAAGAGGAGAGGCTGAAAGAGGCAGCAGACATCCATCTGAGATTGGGACAGATTCAACGATACTGTGAATTAATGGTGGAGCTTGGACAGGTAAGGAGTTGGGTATGGAGGAAAAAGCATGTAACTCAGACAGTAGTGAGACCCTGTTAATTGTGTTGGCACTGATCCTATCTGTGACTTTTAAACATTTGAATATTTTACAACATGTTCTTTAATCATTGGCTGGCTCCTTTGTAGTCTCTTTTCTTATCTGTGTATACACTGGGTGTCAGATGCAAATATAAGCTTATTTTACTAAAAGGCACTGAACCAAACAAAGTTTCCATCAGTTCTCAAAACACTGGTGTTATATCAGTATCTTCATGCCATCATGGAGCCAGTGAAATCAGCTTCATGCTCTGCATGTTATACTGGAAACATAACTGGAGGTTTCAGGCCTTCTGACAGTGAGGAGTACTACAGCAGGGGCAGGCATGCAGACAACAGCTGCAGATCCAGAAGCCAGGTGTAGTGTAGGAGTCTGAAGAGGTCATGGAGAGTGACATCTGGGCCCTATACAAACCTGTCAGCTGTTAGCTTAAAGAATAATTGGGGACAGCCAAATTAAAGGTTCTGTTTCGATTAGAAAAAGAAACACATGAAGACAGAAAACATGATATTGATGATGTGACTCAAAGGAATAAATGGAGTCTTGTTTTGTCTCTTTCAGTGGGAGAAGGCTTTAGCTGTGGCTCCAGGAGTTTCCATGAAGTACTGGAAGAAACTGATGCAGAGGTAAACCACTCTTCAGTGTGACTAGAATAAAGGAGAAATACAATAAATACTTCATGTCCTAAATGTTTGAACAGGAGCAGCACTGGTACAGTACAGTTAAAACCAGAGCAATAATCCTGCATAAATCCTGCACCACCTTCTGCACAGAGCTGAGTCAGAGACGTGTTGATTCAACATTATGGTCTGAATATAATCCCACACTAACAAAGACAAATACTGCTACTCACAAAGGCATTGTGATGTACAGTTGTGGCCTTTTTCATGCTTCATGTTGTTAAGCAGAGCTCTTGTCTGGGTGTAAAGTCAGTTTAAGGCTTGTTGTTTTGGGTTTTTATCAATTTTTGATCAACAGACTCAGATTTTCTAGGTAGGATACATTTTTTTGAGTCAGATTTAATTTAAAGTGTCTGCGTCTTGTCTGTGTGCATCAACATGTTACTCCTATACAGTGTTCCCTTAAAAGCACACCTGGTGTAGAGAGAACAAGTAAAACACCTGCTGCAGCTGCAGCCAATCAGGATTTAGATGATATGTAATAATAAATCAGCAGTGAGATAGCTGCACAAAGACTCTCTTTTTCATCAGTGTTACATCCTCACAGTCTGATTATAGACCAGGTTATTCATTAGTCATCTTCTTACTTTTACCCATGTTACATTACTGTAAACACAGTAAAAACCTTTCTATGCTGCATATTGTTCATCTTACAGTACAATATGATGTATCAGAGCATGCTCATGTTGCAGGAGAGCCGACCAGCTGATGGCTGAGGATAATGATGACGCTATCCCATACTGCATCGCTACAGGAGACATCAAAAAACTTGTAACCTTCTTCACTGGCAGAGGACAGCTGCTGGAGGCTGCACTGATAGCACAGGTACTGGAGAGTGGGGGGGTGGGGGGTGTTTAACCGAACAAAAGTGATGACAATAATAATCATATCTCTTATTTCCAGGGAGCATGTGAAGGCAACGTCTGTGCACCTCAGAGCTCCCCAGTCAACCATACAACTAATGATGTGGACGGTGTACAACAGTACCAGAGGTACACACACACACACACACACACACACACACGCTAGCATTCTGTTACATATTTACTTTGGCCTGCACAGTTGAAGTGAGTCTGAATCAGCTTTGGACTGTGTTGATGTTCAGTGTCTCTGGCTCTGAGGTTGCAGTGAGAAAAGTATACTACAGTCAGGAGCGCAAAGAGAAACAGCTGAACCGTTAACACATTGTGGGAGAGAGGCTGGTTTCAAGAACAGTACTGTCAGGAGATGTTTGGACGAGTTATTCTACACATGGAAAAACATGAGAGAATAATATTCAGTTGAAAGCTGTGCTATCTAAATGTTTCCAGGCAGAATCTAAAAAAAACAAGTCTGTAGTACAGTCAGATTGCATTCATGTCAGGACTGTAATACTGATCAGTTCACTCAGTAACATCACATCACATCACAAACACACACACACACACACACACATTTCCATCCTCTCTGTTCCTGTGTTTAACCTATCATCAGTGTGGAGGAGGTGTTCAACCAGTTGTAGTGTGTAAAAGAGAAGTGTGTTTGGCCACGACTCCTGACTCAGATAAAGGTCCAATGTAAAACAAGCGGAGCTCAGTACTCTCACTGGGTGAGACTCAGTTGTTAACTCTTAAACACGAGGCCCAGGATATCTGTGAGCTTCTCCTCTGGTTTACCTGCTCCTCCTCTGTCCAGTCTCCTCCATCAGGTGTGTGAGGAGCTTGCCGAGTGGTACTTCCAGGACGGGTGCTCTGTCCTGGCAGCGTGTTGTCACCTGGCTGTGGACAATGTCCAGGTACACCCCTCAGTCCGTGCACAGCACCTTATACACACTTTGCTGTGTATGATCCTAACATGTGGCTGAAATGTGTGTGTGTGTCTGTGTGTGTTGTATCTGTAGTTAGCCATGTCCAGTCTGATCCGAGGGAATGAGCTGGAGCTGGCTGCATGTGTGGGCATCGTTCTGGGAGAGGCAGCCAATCAGAGCACTGTGTACTGTCTTGAACTCTTGGCGAGGAAGTACATGACCACACCCACATGGTGCGTCTCCTTGTGTCTCCAGTGTATACTCTATTTTCCTGTGAACCTTGGAAGTGATCCAGACACACACTGGTCCAGTTCAGTTCCTTGTATTTAGTACTTTTTTGTATTTAGTACTTTTTTTTTCCTGAATAATTTGACTCCTCCTGAGTAAGCTGACTGTTTCCAGCTGACTGACTGTTTCCAGCTGACTAACTGTTTCCAGTTGACTAACTGTTTCCAGCTGACTAACTGTGACCACATTGAGTTTACAGTCTGTGTTGGACACCATTAGAATTTTAAAGTAGGAACCCTTTGAGCCCAGAGGCAGCCACTCCAGGCAGACCTCTGACCTCTGACGTCTGTGGAGCATCTGACATATAGAGCCTAAAGTTGGCCTGTCAGGGGAAAACCCCAATCTATTTCAGCTGGGTGTGTATGCACCTGTCAAACTCACCTATACCTCCCTCAGTCTGAGGGATCAGCAGCTGCTTCCTGTCACCTGTCCTTGAAAAGTGCAGCCTGGGTGGTGTACCCAGTGTTTCTTACTCCTGTGCTTACATTCAGGGAGGTGTCAGCTGACTTGCTGCACATGATTCCAGACAACTACATCTTATTGGCTAAGCTGTGTGCATTTTACCCAGGAAGTGCTGATGAGATCAACCAATTACATGAAAGGGTGAGTAGACTGTCTCTGATTACCTGTCAGTGATACGAACATGGGATGATTAGAGTGATCACAGCTGCTGTGTGTCTTCCAGTGTGGTCTCCCCTTGTCAGAGGAGTGTGAGGCCTTGGCAGAGGTAGCCATGTCTGAAGGAGACCTGTTCTCAGCTGTTCAGTTCCACCTGCTGAGCTCTGAGCCTGAGGCTGCTCTGCACATAGGGATAGAGCACGTCAAAGGTACTGACACCTCTGTGTCACTGTGTGTATCTGTGTGTGTCTTTGTGTCTCTGTGCGTTACTGTGTGGGTCAGTGTGTGTCTGTGTGTCACTTTGTACCTCTGTCTGTCACAGTGTCATCACCTGCCAGATACCTGCACATTTTGGATATGACGATACCGACATGACCACGGGACTGGTTCCATTGTTTCACCCAGTAATAGTGACATCAACCTACAACTGTAGGAAGTGATGTCAAAACAGTTCATCTCTAAATGAGCTCAGTTTCATGTTTATGATGAATATTAGCCATTTCTCAGTTTCTCTGTTCTGTGTTCTTGGGAAAAAGTCCAAGATAAAATATCAGGAAGTGTTCTCATTCTGTTTTATCAAGGGTGCATTGCTATGTGACTTGTGCGGACTTGGGACAGCTAAGTATCCCAGAATGCATTTCACACCAAATAGCGACAACAGCGGAAACTCTGAGCCAGGTTCAAAGCTGAAACTATTTTCACCCTACAACTGTTATTATATCATTTCATTAAGTTTTGATGTTTTTTCCATTAAGGCTCAAATTACAGTTTTTGCCTGTTGCTTGAACACATTTTGCAAAACTTCGCTCATTGTGCCAAAACTCTACACACAAGTAAACATGACACAACACTGGGAAATATACCATTCACATCTGTGTCAAATTGAAACTCTACTATCAAAACCTAAACTCTGCTATCTGCTACCTAACAATCCTTTGTCAAAATGTAACTCTGATGACAAAATGACACACACTTGCATCATATGCATACACTTTCAGATCAGGGGGAACACACTAGTCTACTTTATATAAAACACTGCAGTCTTTGATTTTCACTGTTTATTCAGAAGGCACATTTTCAGGAGGCACATTTTCAAACAACCAAAAAAGCAAATAGGCCTACTCAGTATTGTACATTGCAGCACTGTACATTGCAGTAACATGAATTCAGATAAAGCAAAAAAAAAAAAATAGAAAAAAACACTATACTGTAAACACAGAAAATCATGGCAATTGTGCATACGTGGGCTCATGGATCCCGCCGTCTGTTGGGGTCTGGCCACAGGACCTCATCGACATCGCAAGCAATGTGTTCTCCCGCTAGGCACCGGGGAAAATATCCCCTTGCATGTCGAAACCATCCATGGATTGCTGTCACCTGAATGTCGCCGCAGGCCTGTTCCATTGCCTGCAGAAGAGGCATGCGGGCATGTGGTTGGCGGTCATATACACGCCATCTCCAAGCCGAAAAGAATTCCTCTATAGGGTTTAAAAATGGTGAGTAAGGGGGCAAGTATACCACTTCAAATTGATTGTGGTTGGTGAACCAGGCCTGGACCAGAGCAGCCCGATGGAAACTGACATTATCCCATACCACCACAAACCTGGGCTGATCTGGTCTGTTCTGTACAACTATATTATGGAGAGCATCTAGAAATGTGAGTATATGTTGGGTATTGTATGGACCTAGTTTTGCATGATGATGCAGAAGCCCTCGAAGGCTTATGGCGGCACACAATGTGATTTCCCCCGCGCTGCCCCGGGACGTGCACAATTGCCCTTTGGCCAATTACATTACGACCCCGTCGTCTTGTTTTGCTCAGGTCGAATCCAGCTTCATCAATGAAAACGAATTCATGAGGCTGTGCAGCTCCATCCATGGCCAAGATTCTCTGTAACAAAAAAAACAAAACATATTACTACAGTGCTACACATACAGAACCCCCACCCCATCACACAGGTACCTGTGTAGCTCTCCGAATGGATCCATGTGGTACTGATATGGTACATATTCAGCTGCTACTGGATTTCACCAATACTGTATTGTAAATGTAAAGGACAGTTACACTTACCCGTACATATTCACATCGAAGTCCTTTGACCCTGACACTTCCTCTCAAATGGGACCCTGTAGAGCTGCTTCATGGTGATGTTGTGTTTTCCCAAGATGCGTCTGATGGTGGTGATGCTCACATGGTTTATGTTGTTGAACACTTGCCTGTCTGCAAGTACTTTCTGTCGTAGCTGGTGGAGACGGATGGCATTGTCTGCCCTCACTAGGTCCACAACGGCAAGTTCCTGCTGTTGTGTGAACAGGCGTTGGCGTCCTCCCCCAGAAGGTCTTCTAGTCATTCTAGAGAAATACAACCACAAATTGTCATTGGTTTGCTTCTTTTTCTTACAGTACTATATATACTGTACTTTACTGTATATACTGTATCATCCACTGTACTGAAACATCTCAATATAAGTAATCATGGTATGTTTCACAAAAACTACCACTTTGGCTGCAAAAGGAGCATTAGCACCCTGCAATACCCTGTACACGTGATGTGGTAATGTGATATACTGTAGTACAGTACTGTAAATACCATCTGAGTAGAGTAGAAGGTAGAGAGGTGAAGACATACCTGTTTTCCAGTCGGCATGTTCTTATTACAGATGCCACTGTGAAGCGGCTTAGATGTGGGTGGACTCTCTGCCCAGCTTCCCTTATAGTCAGGCCATGGTTGATGACATGGTCCACCAAAGTTGCTCTTATATCATCAGAAATAGGGGTCCGTGCATGGCCTCTTCGACCTTGACCTTGTCCTTGTCCTCCTCTTCCTCTTCCTCTTCCTCTTCCTCTTCCTCTTCCTCTTCCTCTTCCTCTTCCTCGTCCTCGTCCTCGTCCTCTTCCTCTTGCTCTACCTCTGCCTCTCGCTCTCCCTCCATCCATGCTTGCAAAGTTCTTGAAATGGCTAAACTGAGGGCTTTTTGTAGCTGGCTGATTGGTGTTCAGTTTTGCAAGTAAGTGCCTTCAGGTGTGTATTTGAGTGGTTGCAATTACCCGATGTGTTTTGTATTTTGGATACATGTGTTTTCCAAATGGCACCCTGAGATTTCATTTTTGAACGAAGTGTCTTATGTATGAAATAGAGTGTAGTATGCAGGACCAAGTGTGTTGCATAAAGGAGTAAGTGTGTTGCAGAATTGCAACTAGAGTGCAAAGCAGCGTTTTTGTTTAAGGTATGGGTACATGTGTTTGAGGTACGGTAACAAAAGCTTCAAGTTGTGTTACTTTAGTCTAAGCATGGGTCTATAGTGTTCAAGCAACGGGCAAAAACTGTAATAAGTTTATCCAAATAACTCAAGCAGGGCAGTGTGTGCTGTCGTCCTGGTAGAAAAAGTGTTCTCTCTGCAGCCCTTTGGTCATTTACTGGTGGCTTTGTTGTCTGTGGTGTTTTGATATATGATAAAAATTCCTTTTGGAAGATGAAATTTGATCTCTGACTTATATAATATATATAATATTTGTACCTGCACATTAGTCTGAGAAGATGAAGCTAAAAACATGTGATTTGGTGGACAGTTAACAACAGCTTTGCCTCTGTGAGCTTCTGTGTACAAATATATTTATAAATATATATAAATGAAAATCAACAGAGTCAGGTACAGGTGTGTTGAAGTGTAACATACATACATGTGTCCATGTGATCTCTGAATGTCTCTGTGAAGAACTACAGTCACACCTGTAGATGACAGAGATATATGCTCATCCATCTTTACAGCACTGATTAATCAGAGCCTCTCTTTAATGCTCCTCCTCACCAGAACAATTGACTGGATCTGATTGGACGGTGGACAGTGTTCAGCCAATCCTAGACCTGATGAGTTACATCAGGACCGACCGCCTCATCATGGCCAAGCTGACTGAGTAAAACCATTTATTACTGTAGCATCAGCCTGTCAGCAGCCATCTGTGATGTCACTGATGTCAGAGAGATGGATAGACAGTTAATATTTGTTTTTATTGATTTCCAGTATGTTGCCATACATTGTCAGACTTGATCATCGTCCTGTGTGTGTGTGTGTGTGCGTGTGTGTGTGTGTGTGCGTGCGTGCGTGCATGTGTGCATGTGTGTGCGCGCGTGTGTGTGTGTGCGTGCGTGTGTGTGTGTGCGTGCGTGTATGTGTGTGTGCGCGTGTGTGTGTGTGTGTGTGTGTGTGTGTGTGTGTGCGTGTGTGCATGTGTGTGTGTGTGTGTGTGTGTGTGCGTGTGTGTGTGTGTGTGTGTGTGTAGAGCCCGCAGTGAGCTGTTGATCCTGTGTGGTTATATTGGCGGTCTACTGGCCATCAGAAGACAGTACTCCAGCATCGTACCTGCACTCTACGAATATACCAGGTAGACACACAGCTGTGTGTGTGGACACAACAGTGTGCGTGGATGTGTTAATAAAATAAGAAGTGAACTACAGTCTGATGTCAGAACCCTGTATTGATCTTTATTAAACTGTGTTAAACTGAGTCTGCAGGAACAGTGATGATGCCTCTGTGTGTCTGACGGTTGTCTGTTTGTTGTGTGTCTGACTGCTTGTCTAACTGTTGTACGTCTGAATGTTGCTTTTATGACTGTTGTATGTCTGACTGTTCTGTCTGACTGTTGTTTGTATGGCTTGTTTGTCGGACTGTTTTGTGTCTTACTGTTTTCTCCCTGGCTGTTGTGTCTGACTGTTGTTTGTCTGACTGTTGTGTGTCTGACTGTTTTGTGTCAGACTGTTGTGTGTCTGACAGTGTCTCTTTCCTCAGTCAGCTGCTGAAGCGCAGGGAGGTGTGTGTCCCTCTGAAGATCGAGCAGCTGTCTGTGGAGCTGGATGCCTGGAGGGCCTGCACACAGAGTAACAGCAAGTGGGTCACACAGACACACAGACACACTAGATAATGTTCATATTCAAAATCATTCAGATGAACTTCAGTGTGACTGTGATGATTTTGTGATGGTTTTAAGAGGAAGATGGTGACATCGCTACTCCTCATCCACTCAATGGAAATGATGAACACTGAGGAGGTCTTCACATTCTCCTCTGTAATCAGGCCTAGTCTCGGTCAGTGAGGCCAGTTACCACGGCAACACAGGAGAGGCAGCCGATTCCCCTCCGAGTGATGAGAGGGCTGAGCAGCTTTGTTAGCATCAGTGGAGCTAAAGATGCAAAGGCTACCATCAGACTGCACTGTGATTGAACATGTGTCTGTGTCTGATTGCAGCAGTCCTCCATCAGAGCGTCAGAAAGAAGAGTTCAGCCGCCTCCAGAGGAGGATCCAGCCCACAGACCCCGGTAAACACATGTTTAACCCCAGTTTCCTCCGCAGAGCTCAGTGTAGTCCTGAAGCCATCTGCTACATGACCCAAGACTCAGCCGGGATACTGGTCTGATGTTGGCACCAGCATCAGGAGCATAAGGAGCTGTTGAATGTAAACCTCAGGTCCAGCTAATCTGGCTGACAGAAAGCTGACTGGTGATTGGCTATGGTTCCTCTAAGTGGCTCACTAATTGGCCAAAGTTTGACTTAGAAACAGAGAGCTACTGGACTTTTATGAAGTGGATTTTACAAATATTCAGTGGGAACATATGAAGTATAATCATCAGTAAAGTGTGTGTGTGTGTGTGTGTGTGTGTGTGTGTGTGTGTGTGTGTGTGTGTGTGTGTGTGTGTGTGTGTGTGTGTGTCTCAGCTGCGCTGGTCCTGTGTGGAGCTGATTATGTGACAGGCTCCAACTTGCCGAGCCACTCAGATGTTCAGCTGTCCTGCTTCACTGGACACAGGATACAGGTGTGTGTCTAGTGTGTTGAGTTGTATATGTGATGTGTGTTGACATCATGCGATGCTCTTCATGTTTGCTCCTGATCTCATGCAGGGTCCAGTGTTTGTGTTGGAGGACAGTAAATCAGCAATCTCCCACAACGACGCACTGATGTGGGCTAAAGTCAACCCCTTCTCCCCACTGGGAACAGGAGTCCGCATCAACCCATTCTAACACACACACACACACACACACACACACACACACACACACACACACACACACACACACACACACACACACACACACACACACACTCACACACACACACACGTAGAGATGGAGTTTTGTGGCCTCTGTGTTTTATAGTTTACTGAGCCAACACACATGGTGACATGGACAGACACACACAGACTGAGGATGAGTGTGATGATGTGCTGTGTGATGAAATCATCATGTTCATTGAGGAGGGGGACTCTTCTGTTGACAGGGTAGAAACCTGAACTGAGACTTTCTGCTATTGTTGTAAAAACTGGAATAAAACAACCACTGCAGATTTATTAGAGACTTGTTGCCTTGTATTACACTCACACTCACACTCACACTCACACTCACACTCACACTCACACTCACACAACAATAGGACGCAGGTAGTGAAAACAGTAACAACACTAGTTCATTACACACACACACACACACACACACACACACACACACACACACACACAGATAAGCTGTGTACACTAGGTGACTGATGACCTACAGTTCAGTTGTTTGCTCCTCCTACATCTGCTGCTCTCAGTTTTCTGGAGCTGATATACAGTTGAATATTACAGTTGTTTTTAATACCTAAAACACACTCCATTGTCTGAACCACACACTTGGTGGCCTGAACACATTTATTGAATCATTCACTCTTTTAGCAAAACCATGAACAGTTTTTCACCTGGTTAAACACAAGTTTCAGATCTCATTTCACATTTTCACTCACTAAAACACACTGTGCTCTGTGATGCACTCACGATGCATAACCACTCGTAGCAGGTTAGACACAGTTACAGTACAGAGATCATAGCGTACACACAACAACTCAAAAGTGTTCACCCTTTTTGCTAAAGTAGAAACCAGGTCAGAGTGCTCAGGTTGTTGAAGGCTGGTGTGAAAGAGACAATGGAGGAAAATAATCTGAGCGGAGGAGGAAGAGTAAGACTTACAGACTTGCAGGAAGAGCAATACAGTTTTTGTTTTTGCTGAAACACATTTCTTGAAACCTTCCATGCTTTTCTCCAAACTATTTTTTTCAGTTGCTAACACACTAAAATGAGACACAAAGCAAAATGATTGAAACTGACACTCATAGAGAACCTCAGCTCACATCTCCAAATCTCCAAAAACATTTTCACCTTTGCACACAAATTGCAATTCAACATGACACTGTTTGCAATTCACTGCACACAGTTCTCTATGTAAAACACAGGAATCTGACATTAAGTCATTTGTTTATCATTTCAAAACACTGCTATTCAAAATGCCACACCCATGGACCAGTTGGCCAATACACATGCCGCCTGGCCAAACACCTAACTGCTTATTATTGACTCATCAATCATGATGTAAGCACTGTAAAAAGATACATACATACAACAATGGAAGCAGCAGTGAGAGGAAGAAGTGGAGGAAGGGTGAGAGTGAGAGGTCGGAGTAGAGCTGGAGGGGGGGGGGGGGGAAAAAAAGGAGAACAAGAGGGTTCCAGCTCAACATGAGCTGATTTACTGGAGCCTCCGTCATCCGGACATTTAAGCTTGAGCACAGGTACGTAACCAGAATACAGGATTCCACCAATCACACTGTATCCATCACTTCCTGGTCGCATTGTTCACAGAGCCATTGTAGATAGTGTCCTCCATTGCCATGCCAACCTTTTTGGACAGACTGCTCAACACTGTGACACAATGCAGAGCAGCACAGATACGTGACAGTACGGGACAATGTCAGCTTCCATAGTTCAGCACCTTCCACCCTACTCTCCATTTCTCAGTCCGGCTGAGTTCTTCTCTGCATGCTGGAGGAAGGTGCATGACCACCAGCCTTGACGTGCACATGGCTCTTCAACAGGCGATAGAAGAGGCATGTAATGGTGCTGATGTGGGTGCTGTCCAGGGCTGGAGATGATTCTTCCCTCGCTGATCTTGATGAGGTGCTGTGGCCAGACCCAGTGAGGTGGCCAGATGCAGCCTGGATATTTTCTTTTCTTTTGTCTTGTAATTTATTTATTTATTTTTGTATATTTTCCCGTAAAATCTTCATTTTCTGTTTGTTATATTTCAAAGGGCTTTTTTTGTGTTCCTACAACCATAATGTAGGGTGGACTGTGCATTTGATTAATTGATTGATTGATTGACTGATTTGATTAGTTGTTGTTTTGTTTTAACAGTATTTGTGTTTCTGCACATATTTAAACTCTCAGCAGAATTCTCTTCATTCAGATCTGTGATGACACACACTGAAAGTGCAACAGTTGATTGAAGAAGAATGTGAATGTTTATCTAGTTTTGAATGCACTGCTTCATTTGGCAGGTCATATGAGGTGTTTTGCAATTTGGGTGTTGGTTTTGTGAATTGTGTGAGGTGTTTTGAAAAAATTTGCTCTGTTTTCAAAACCGTGTAAAAAACTGTAAAACAAAATCCCAGTTGTCAAACTGCATTCACCAAACCTCTGACTCACCTCTGACAGTCTCGCCATAACAATTTTATCTGTGCTCAGAATCAAACACTGTTTTCAGATCATACATAAAGATGAAAGATCCTTGAAGATGAAAAATGTAAACACAGTGTTCAGAGCATGTGGCTCCAGAAATGTTTATTCTTTATATTTTTTGCCATTGCTTACACACTAAAAGTGAATTTTTAGACCAAAGCATCAAAACCTTAACTTTTGAAACTATGCCTTAAACAAATGAAACCAAAAGCACAAACACATTTTCTGCTTTACACTTTGTTTTCAATTCTACAACACACACTTGCAAAAACTCTACACACTTTTTCTTACATTAGACACTTTGTTCAAGACTTAAATCTTACAGTCACTGGGAAAACACTTCTTTTTCAAGCTGCAACACACACCTGACTTTTGCACCGCACACATACACACCTGAAATCACTTGTGTAGAAATTGAAGAGCACTCAGTCTGAGCCTTAGAGCTACAGACAGACCTCAGACGAGCTTCTGTCAGAACTTTGGAAGCAGTGAGCGCGAGAGGGAGAGAAAGAGGTAGACGGAGAGGGGGTGGAGGATGAGGACAAGAGTAAAGAAGACCAGACAATAGACAGACACATCAGGGCCACTCTGGCGGACCATGTCATGAATCACGGCCTGACACTGAGGCAGGCTGAGCAGAGAGTCCGGCCTAACTTCAGTCACTACAGACTAGCATCCATAATGTGGACATTGAGACCGGAGAGCAGGTCTTCAACTTTCTATTAGACTGAACTTTTCAGTTCATCGACACTCGTTTTACTTTATGTAACTGCTGAATCCAGACATGGATACTGAGTGGCAAATATATTTTTTAGAAAACATAAAATGCCTTTATTACAAAGAATTAACATTTCTGGAGCCGCATGCTCTGAACACTGTGTTTACATTTTTCTGTGTAGTTTGTGATGAACGCTCAGTGGTGCTTTTATTTTGGTTATCTTTATGTATGATCTGAAAACAGTGTTTGATTCTGAGCACAGATAAAACTGTTATGAGGAGACTCAGAGGTGCGTCAGACAGTTTTGAGAAAAGCATGGAAGGTTTCAAGAAATGTGTTTTAGCAATTGTGAAAAACTGTAATTTCTAAATGCAGTTTTAAGATGCATACTCTCACCCACATGTCACTCAAAGAGGCCACGCCCTCAATTCTCCATAACTTTAATCCTTAATAAAATGTCAAACAGTTGTTGAAGGAGCAAATTAGCTCTAGAGACCAAAACTGTTTTTTGCATGAAAGTGTGTGAATGGATGAATGTGACTTCCATTGTAAAATGCTGAGTGTTGGATAAGACTAGACTGTAGACTGTATAAGTACATTCACCATACATACATACACTACAACTTGCTGATGAACATGTTGACCAGTTGTAGTAGAACTGGTGCATCAGGACCCACTGACACAGACTGGATCCTGAAATGGACCTGTTGTTAACGACGACAGCAGCGACACGAGGAGCAGTTTTCTTTTGTCTTTTATTCCAGAATTAAAAATGCAAACACACATGATAAACACACAGCTGAGAGTCAACTGTACTGGAGTCAAACCAGCAGTTGAATTAATATCAAGAGTAAGATGTGACCCTATTTCCCGCAATGTCCAGACTCTTTATATGTTTAAAATATCTGACGTATTATATTCACCGTTTATTATTGAAGTATGTTGTATTGAAATATAATTGAACAGATTAAAACTGTTATTAACACCTCATAATGAATAACTGTAACATGAGGCCTGAGGCTTCAGACAGTGATCAGAGGACAGGAGGTAAACAGCTGACTTCACCTGCATGTAGGTGAGTTTCTACTGTATTCTCTTTCCATAATGAGAAACTGGGACATGAAGTGTGTGACTCTGTAAATGAGAGCAGCTCCACTGTGAGTGTGGAGAACAGTGAGCTGTGCAGATGCTCAGTCAGTCAGGGACATTAACATCACACATCTAAATGGTCATATATCTGATCACACAGCACAGCTGGTGTTGAACATGTTGATTTTCTAAGATGATGAAATATTCTTATCTCATTATAAAATACCAATAAATTAATTCCCATCTCAAACTATCACACTGGATTTTTTATTTTTAAATCAGCTGTTAAATAACAACTGTTGCAGTTTTTAATATAACACTGTTTAATCAAAGAAGCTGCATAATCAGTCACATCTGAGGTGGATGACAATGACTGTCGACATAGAAACCTGACAGAAAAACATGTATAAGTTTGGTTCAATAAAGATGTAGACTGTAGCTGCAGCCAAAACACTGGACTTCCTCATTTTACATTTTATACATAATTATTAAATGACTGAATTCCAGCAGCAAGAAGTTGTTCTGAACCAGTCTCTGGTGTCCTGCGGTCCGACAGCTCAAAGCTCTGCATTGTTCCACATACAGCAGCACAGTCCAGGGCTCCAGTCTGTCAGAGCTCAGGCAGACAGCGGCTCATAGGTGTGGAAGTGGATTCCCTTAGAGCAGGTGATCTTCATCACGGCTCCATTCAGACTGGGATCCTGGATTAGTCTCATCATGCCCTCTGCTATCAGTGATGGCCTGCAGGTAAACAGAGAGGAAGAGGGGCATTAGATCACACACACACACACACACACACACACACACACACACACACACACACACACACACACACACACACACACACACACACACACACACACTCACACACACTCACACACACATAGAGATGGAGTTTTGTGGCCTCTGTGTTTTATAGTTTACTGAGCCAACACACATGGTGACATGGACAGACACACACAGACTGAGGATGAGTGTGATGATGTGCTGTGTGATGAAATCATCATGTTCATTGAGGAGGGGGACTCTTCTGTTGACAGGGTAGAAACCTGAACTGAGACTTTCTGCTATTGTTGTAAAAACTGGAATAAAACAACCACTGCAGATTTATTAGAGACTTGTTGCCTTGTATTACACTCACACTCACATAACAACAACAGCATGGCAGATTTCTTGTATTTTTAGGAGGATGGGAGTTTGCACAGGAAATACATAACTAATTACCAGTATATGTGTACGTGTGAGTGTGATCAGGAAGTCATCTGGCCTCAATTTCCTGTGACATTAAACTGCTTCCTGCTGCTTGTCTTAGTGAACACAGCCTGGTCAGTGTGGTATGAACAGCTCTGATGGAGGCCCATCATTAACTGTGACGGAGATTCACAGTGAAGTGATGAGTGAGAGCCTCAGATTGTCTGTTCTGTGCAGAATGACTCCAAAAAAACACTCATCTAGTCGCCTCGAAGATCTAATATCATTCAATAGCCAAGTCGCTCATGAGCAACAAGAATGTAATCAGAGCAGAAAAAAGCCCTCAATGTTTTCAAGACCACACATTTTTAACTGCAGCTGTTTGGAGAAAATCGAAATCAGTTTACAAACTGACAAATAGACATGCACCTGCACACGCACACACACACACACACTCACACACACACACACACACACACACACACACACACACACACACACACACACACACACACACACACACACAAAACACAAGAAGAAAGAAAGAAGGAAAACCACACTGTAAGTAGAGAGAGCAGTTTGTTAACACCTTAGCAGACACAGCTCAACACTTTGTTGAGTGTCCTCTGGCTGACACACACAAGCTCCTCCTCTGCCAAGTCACTAAGTCTGTGTGAGGCATTCATCAAGCTAATACATGAGGCAATTCATCATTGGCCCAGAGTTAACTATTCCGACAACCAGAAGACAGAAATGTTCACCTCTGGATGAACAGGAACACATGAGCACTGGTCCACTACTTTAGTTTATGACCACAGTCCTGTAAAACCAATGACTCTCTATAGGGATCGACTCACTGTTGGAGCCAGACTCAACATGGTACTTCCATGTTGGCTTAATTTTTCAGTCTGAATAAGCCGTACCGTGGATGCAGAGCCGGGCTAAGCTAAAGGCTAGGAGATGGAGATATAAGTCTTTTCTACCTTCGATCCTCATGGGAAATGTCAACTCCCTGGCTAGCAACTGTGATGAACTGGAGGCACTTGTGAAGAACCAGCGAGCATATCGTGAGTGTAGTCTCGTGTGTCACGGAGACCTGGTTAAACGACAACACTCCCGACCATTGTGTGGATTTACCCGGCTTCACTGCAGTACGAGCGGACAGAGGTGCCAGAGCAAGTGGGAAGAGTAAAGGTGGAGGACTGGTTCTGCTTGTCAACAATAGCAATAGTGACCCCAGTCACATCACAGTGAAGGAGAGGATCTGCTGTTGGGATGTTGAACTGTTGGCAGTTGGTCTTAGACCGTATTATGTACTGAGGAAATTCTCTCACATCCTCGCCATTGTTTATTACATTCAACCACGAGCAGAGCCTGTAGTCGCGTGTGACGTCATCCATGAGACTGTTGCGAGAGTACAGACCCAGCACCCTGATGCATTCATGGCAATATCCGGGGATTTTAACCATGTCACTTTCACCTCTCACCTGACTGGCTTCACTCAGTATGTTGACTGTCCCACAAGGGAAAATAAGACACTGGATCTGTTGTATGCAAATGTCAAGGAGGCCTACACTGCTTCAGCTCTACCACCACTTGGCAGATCAGATCATAATCTGGTTTTTCTTCAGCCTTCCTACAAGCCCTGTGTACTGATGCAGGCTGCAACCACCCGCTCATTCAGGAACTGGACCCCGGAGGCCAGTGAGTCTCTAAAAGACTGTTTTGAGTACACAGATTGGAATGTCCTGTTGGAGTCACAGGAAAATGATAAAAGCAAAGACCCTGACCTTGACAGAATGGTTGAATGTACCATGGACTACATTAACTTCTGTATGGACACTGTTATACCAGCAAGGACTGTACACTGCTTTCCAAACAACAAACCCTGGATCACCAGTAACATCAAGACCCTCTTCAACCAGAAAAAGGAGGCCTTCAGGGATGGAGACAGGGAGAAGCTCAGGTGTGAGCAACATGAGCTGAAGAGGAGATTAAAGCAGGCGAAGGAGGACTACAACAAGAACGTGGAGAGGAAGCTGCAGCACAACACCAGAGAGGTGTGGAAGGGGATGAGGACCATCACTGGCTATAAAGAGAACAGCCAAGCAACATCAGGTGATGTGGACAAGGCCAATGAGTTCAGCCTGTTCTACAACAGGTTTGACACAGCCTCACCTGTTCTCTCTCCCACTGCTTCAGCTGCAGCTTCTCCAACAGCATCTACTCCACAACCTGACACTGCAGCTGCACCTCCCTCCACACTGGGGTCAAGTCTCCTGTCCTTTACAGCGGAGGAGGTGAGGGCGGAGCTGCAGAGGCTCCGTCCTGGAAAGGCAACAGGCCCGGATGGTGTGTGTCCGAGACTGTTAAAGGACTGTGCAGCCCAGCTGACTGAACCTCTCCAGAGGATCTGTAACTTAAGTCTAGAAACAGGGAGGGTCCTGGTCCTGTGGAAAACATCATGTCTTGTTCTGGTCCCTAAAGTAGGACGACCAGCTGAGATAAATGACTACAGACCGTTGGCCCTCACATCACACATCATGAAGACCCTGGAGCGGCTGCTTCTCCACCTTCTGAGGCCACAGGTTGAATATGCACTAGACCCCCTACAGTTCACCTACAAAGAACATATTGGAGTTGATGATGCTGTCTTTTACATGCTCCACCCAGCCCATTCTTACCTGGATGAGCCAGGTGGTTACATGAGGATTATGTTCTTTGATTTCTCAAGTGCATTTAACACCATCCAACCCCCCATCCTTAAAGACAAGCTGGAAGGGATGAGGGTGGATCCCTGCTTCACGTCCTGGATTGTGGATTACCTGCTAAGATGACGACAGTACGTCTGTAGTAGGGTAACTGTGACTGTAACTGTGTCTCAGGGACAGTGATGAGCAGCACTGGGGCTCCACAGGGAACTGTTCTGGCTCCGTTCCTGTTCACCCTGTATACAGCAGACTTTAAATACAACTCTGAGTCCTGCCACATCCAGAAACATTTGGATGACACAGCTATTGTGGCGCGTAACAGGAACGGCAGGAAGAGGAGTACAGGGATCTGACGATGGCCTTCAGTGAATGGAGCAACAAGAACTGCCTCCTTCTGAACACCTCCAAGACCAAGGAGATGGTCATGGACTTTTGGAGGTCTAGGCCCACCCTTCAGCCAGTCAACATTTGAGGGAAGGACACTGAGGTGGTGCACACTTATAAATACCTAGGTGTGCACCTGGACAGTAAACTGGACTGGTCCCTGAACACAGATGCCATGTACAAGAAGGGGTGGAGCTGGCTCTTTTTCCTCAGGAGGCACAGGTCCTTTTTACGTCTGCAGTGAAATGCTGCACATGTTTTATCAGTCAGTGGTGGCCAGTGTACTCTTTTATGCTGCAGTCTGCTGGGACAGCAACATGTCCGACATGAACACAAAGAGACTGGAGACCAACCATCCTCAGGACAGAGAAGCAGCTACAGCTGCAGCAAACGTCTCATCTCACTGCGCTGCAGAACAGAGAGGTTCAGGAGATCCTTCGTTCCCACTGCCATCAGGCTGTACAACACCTCAGCCAAAGGATGTGGACTAATCTAATTATTATTGTTTGTTTATTATTAACTGTTATTCTTATCAACAATGAGTTAATGGACACATGAATTTTTCCTAGGGGATAAGTAAAGTATCTATCTATCTATCTATCTATCTATCTATCTATCTATCTATCTATCTATCTATCTATCTATCTATCTATCTATCTATCTATCTATCTATCTATCTATCTATTATTTGTAAGCATGTTAGCATTGTCACTGTGAGCATTTGAACTGTAAGAATGTTAGCATGCCTAATCACAGCATCACAGAGCTGGTAGCATGGCCACAGACTCTGTGTTACATGTCTCTTACAGTCATTAATATAGTAAACCTAACTGGCTCTCAACTCTGCATAAAAATCACCTTTTTGGACCATGTGTTTTTATCTTCATGTTTTCTTGTTTGTGTCATCCAGTGTATTTAATTTCTGAATTATTTTCACACTTGAGGGAACCACACACTAATCAAACCTGCTGCTCGTGCTGATGATCTGTTCCACCTGTCAATCAACTCTGAGTGGAAACCCCAATCAATAAATACATTTGTAACATCCTACCTCTGATAAAAATATTAATGTACGTCTACATTGAAACTAATTTCATTGATATCATGAACAAATGGACATCCCAGATAAAAATGATCTTAAATAAGAGAAATAAAGTTTGTGCCCGTGTGTGTAAACTCACTGTAAAACTCCAAACTTGTTCATGCTGCGTTTGAAATCATCCTTGAACTTGACAAACTTGCCCATGTTGTCCTCATGCTCCACTGAGTGCAGCAGAGGAGTGTCCACGAAGGCTGGACACAGGACGTTGATTCGAACCCCGTAGCTCTCCTGAGACGACGCATCCTGCAGGAACATGTAGAGTGAGCTGCTGAAGGGCCTTGCATACCTGTGTATGTGTGTATGTGTGTATGTGTGTGTGTGTGTGTGTGTGTGTGTGTGTGTGTGTGTGTGTGTGTGTGTGTGTGTGTGTGTGTGTGTGTGTGTGTGAGAGTCTTACCGCCATAGCTCTAGTGAAGCCAATGACTCCATGTTTTGTAGCAGTGTAGACAGGCTGATGAGGAGAATGGAGGAAGGCTGAGGAGAGAAGAGAGCAGGCATGTTACCAGCAGTGACACTGTCATATAAACTGTGTTTTTCACTACTCTGAGTTTTAAATGCCCAGGCTGGAAGCAGAGTAAAATGATGTGTTTTTCAATAATGCTGCATCAGTTCATAAAACCACAGCTGCCTCTGAACAGCAGCTTCACACTGTAACAGTAACAGAGGACCAGTGGATCCAGGTTTAGGCTCAGCTGCATCAGAATGTTTCAGTCTACAGGCTTTACTTTCCCACGTAAAACAGAAATACACCCTAAAATAATATTGTAATAAATTTAATTTTACTGCTTCAGGAGAAATTATTTATTCGAAAATGTTATTATTTTTTTAGTTTTAAATATACTTCTCGGCTTTGTCTCCCTTATTGGTTTCATACATTCTGAACCTGTTACAATAATAACACTCAGAAAAACCTAAAAACCTACTTTACATTCAAAAATATTCTGTTTCAATCACAGTCAAAGTGTTGATCTTGAATCACTCCGGTACACTGATACAGCTCCTCAGCAGCTGCTCATGTTGTTGTTTGAGAAGCTCATCAGCTTAAATGTGCCGCAGGATGTTTAAGTGTCTGTCAGGTTGAGCCACTGACGTGAGTATTCAGGAGTTTAGAAAAGGTTAAATTCCTCATAACCACCCAGAGAAATGTTGAGTTTATGGTCCAGTTCCCTCAGGACACGTGTGTCTGGAAAGGCTTCTTTTACTTTACTATGTCTGTTTCACAGCTTAACACACACTAACACGCATGCATTCTTTTCCCCAAAAACAATATGTAGTATGTTTGACCGTTGTTTGGACAAGTCCATGTTTGTTATGGGAATAGCAAGTATGTACACACACACACACCCACACACACACACACACACACACACACACACACACACAAACACACACACACACAGATGTTATAGTGAGATAAGAAGAAAATGATTACCATATGCTGTTCCACAGGACAATGTGTCCGACAACAGAACATCCTCTGGAATCTCATTCAACAACAGCTCTGATATACAGTATATAGAGAGAATATAGAGGAACATACAGATATTTCACTACTCTCTGCTGTTTGTCAGGACTAACTGAGTCTCGCCAAATGAGTCTCTTCCACATCTATGTATTCCATGTTTCACAGAGGAGAGATGTATACTGCAACTCTGCCTTTAGTGTGTCTGAATGTTTTGAGTGAGTTTTTTACTCAGAATGGAGCAACAACAGAAACAACCAGTGATCAGCAGCTCTGTGTTGATGAGAGAGGTCAGAGGTCAGAGGAGAATGGACAGACTGACAGAAAGGCTACAGTCACTCAGATAACCACTCTGTACAACTGTGCTGAGCAGAGAGGCTTCAGAGTGAAGAACATGTCCAACCTACAACAGCAGAAGATCATGGTCTGAATGTCACAGTCTATCTGAGTGTTGTTGCTGACCATGCTCATCCTTCATGGCCACAGTTACACCAACATGACAGTGAATTCAGTGAACTTCAGTGACCCCCATCCCCCCAGCCTCCAGACCTGAATCCACCTTTGGGATGTGGCAGAACAGGAGATTGGCAGCTTGAATGTGCAGCTGATGAATCAGTAGAAACTATGTGATGCATCATTTCTACATGGAACAGAGTCTTAGAGGAGAGTTTCAACATCTGGTGGATCCATGACATGAAGGAGCTACCCGTAATTTGGTCAATTCTAAAAGTAAGAGTTACAGGGTATGTGCTTGAGTTTAGAAAAAGAAGCCCTGGCTTTTGAAGAACTGACTGGCCCATCAGAAGAATATGAAACCACAAAAGACCAGGAATAACCTTGTAAATTGTGTGTGTGTGTGTGTGTGTGTGTGTGTGTGTATGTGTATGTGAGAGTGTTGGTTTGTAAAGAGCAACACACAGATGAACCAAATTCTTTGGAGCAGTGTGAGGTTTTCCATGACTGAGACTGAGCAGTTTCGGTTATAGTGGAACTCTGCCAACATGTCATGGTTGCTTTTTATCTAGTGTGTTTCCCACATAGCACACACCAGGAGGAAGAGGACTGTTTTCATAAGTTTGGCTTCCAGGGACTGAGAAATTCATCATCTACAACATTTTGACATAAATAAATCATGTTGTGTTTCTGTCTTTCTTTAGAAAGGAGAAAGTTTAAAACTTGTACTTCTTGCTAGAACTGTGTCAGAATCACTGCAGAGTCTCTGTCAAAGCTAACACTGTACTGTCTTTTTAGTGCAGGTAAAGTTGGATCTCATTCATGAAGTATGAATAGAGATTAACAAAGATACCTGTTGCAGAGAACTTCATCAGCTAATAACTGACTCATTTTTTGACCCTGGAATTTCATGTGATCCAAATGGCTACAATACAGGGAGGTCCCAGAAAATGAGAGCAATTTCTCCAACAAGGTCCGCCCTCAGGGTCAGTCCTCAGGATCAGTCTTTAGGATCAGTCTTCAAGATCAGTCTTCAGGGTCAGTCCTCAGGATCAGTTTTCAAGAACAGTCCTTGGGGTCAGTCCTCAGGGTCAGTCCTTAGGATCAGTCGTCAGGATCCGTCTTCAGAATCAGTCTTTAGGATCAGTGTTCAAGGTCAGTCCTCAGGGTCAGTCTTCAGAGTCAGTCTTCAGGATCAGTCTTCAGGATCAGTCCTCAGGATCAGTCCTCAGGGCCAGTCCTCAGGGTCAGTCTTCAGACAGACAGACAGACAGACAGACAGAAAGGAGTGTGTACCTGCAGAGTCCAGATCATATGCATCTGCAGTCCTGTGAAATTAAATTCTCCCCAGGAAGTTTCCTTCTCAAGTTCAAACTAACAAAAGCTTAACTGACATGATGGTCCCATTATGTTCTGGTGCTAAATCTGTTCATTTTCAAGTTCTGTGTTTGTACAATCTTGAGATTTTCCGACATTTGTCTGCAGTGTATCATAAAGAGCTTGGCTGAGCTGAGTATTCAGAGGAGAAGTGTCAATGTCCACTGTGGTGAGGACACACAGCTTTATGTTCCACTGACTGGCAGAGATAAAATCTTATGTTATAGCTCGTCTGTCTGACCCCAGACATTAACTCTATATCTGATCCTCGAAAAGTCCTCCCTGCTTTTACTTCACCAGGTCTGGATCATTGTATGTCTATACATGGGGCTCCAGCTCATTCAGACTTTTAACAACTTCTCAGAGACAGGACCATATCAAACACACTGGCTGTTAGCTATAGACCTGTTTGAAAGTGTTACTGATAACTTCTATAACTGTACATGGGCCTGCTCCTAAGTCACAGATTTAGTTGTACTCCATGGGCATGTGTGTTTTCTGTTAGAACCTCGCCGCTGTTTCTATTCTACACTCCTGTATTCTATGGTTTTATTTGTTTGCCCCTCGCTCCATGTTTGTATTTGTGTTGTTGGTATTTATATGGAAAGTGCTATACAAATTAATACATGAGTGTGTGTGAGTGTGATTGCATATGTTACCTGCCATAGAAGACACATTGATAATGGTGCCTCCTTCCTTGCCGTACTCTTTACTCATGTGCTCCAGGGCCAAGTAGGTCCCCTTTATTACCGATGTCTGTTAAAGATAAAGAGATGACATGGTCACAGAAGCAGGAACTGAAACTAAAAGCAGAGAATGTGTGAACTGAATAATAAGGTATTTATAGTTATGTTTTTCACTGAGGACATCTGCTGCTGACTTTGACAAAGCAAAGCACTTTACTCTGAAACACAGTCACTCATAGTGCTCGTTACAATAATACAAGTTTATCTAATTGGGATTCCGTGCTTTAGATTTATATATTTCTTGTGCAGAAGTAGAAATTTCAGGGCGATGATGGAGTAAAATAATAACTGAATCATTCTGTGAGGATCACAAATATCAACTAAAGCTTCATGGCAGTGACATCCTGCACTGGCCAACTGACCTCACCCTGTCACTAACTGTTATGGATATTACACCAAAGTCATCGGTTACTACATCAAAGCTACATGGCGCAATGAAGTGCAGGTTTATAGCATCCTCACATGTACAGGGGGAGGGGCATCTGTCTTGTCCATTAGCAGAGAGAGAGAGAGATGGTAAAAATAGATGAGAGCAGAGCTGAGTCTCACAGTGAGGATGAGCGATGTTTAGAACACAAAGAAAATGGATGAAGTTTGAGATATAGAGCCCTGAGGAAAAACAGCTGATAACATCGACAGATGAGGAGGAATGTACTACTTACCATGCGCGCACACACACACACACACACACACACACACACACACACACACACACACACACACACACACACACACAAGGTGATAACATTTAAATGATGTTTCCAGTGCAAACTAAAACAAATAACTTCAGTCTTGTAGCTGTAGATACTGTGTTTTTAATCCTTAACAACATTTAGCTCCACATGGGTTAGAGCTAAACAACTAGTTAATTATTAAACTATTAAGAATAATGGCAGTTGTTTTAAATCATTAATCTAACTTGGATTTGATTATTGGAGCCTCTTGTCAAACACCAGTACAGTCTGTGGTCCTGCTGGCTGTACTCAGATGATAGAGTCACACTCACTTTCTGTCATGAAGGCTCACTGTGCTGACACTGTACAACTACAGTACAATGCAGTTAACCTGTTCACCTGTTCAATGTCTGCCAGGCTCACCTTCCAGTAACAAAGCATCAGTGATTCACACAGTAAGGAAAAAGATTCAGCAGACTTTTTTTTTTTATGAGGTGAAGCGACACATCACAGCCTTGTAAACATCTGCCTGCAGCTGCAGACTTCCTGACATACACACGCATCATGTTAGAGAGCTGAGTCTGACCTGAGGAACCTCTCTCCTCAGAAAGGTTCCTGTTAGCATCAGACCACAGAGCTTCATACTGACTCTCTCGCTTGTCACGGAGGCTTCTATTTACAACCGGCCCAGTCTAAATACTGGTATGAATCCTCCAACACACACTCACATGGAACCAAAGGACCACTGTTTTCACACTACATCAGTTGTGCTGCTTTTCATGATGGGGCCATAATCTCCTTCATTATCAGGTGAAAGTCTGTCTATATTTTCCCAGGTCAACAGCTGGGTTAGCATGAACCCGGCTCGGTCACATGTTACTGAGAAGAGGCCTGTTCAGTCCATCATGTGTAATTTTACATCAGATGAATGAACTGATGCAAACAGATGTGAGGGAGTTAAGTTAATTTAATGTTCACTTGTCTTTACTGCATGATGATTGGATATTGAACAGTAATGCTGTCATTTAACTGTTGATGTGTGCAGAACAACCACCAACATCAGACTCAATGAGACAGAGTGTGAGCAACTGAAGAAGCGTGTCTGTGTTTTCCTGTGTTCAGAGTCGTGGGGGTTGTGAGAGTGTAGAGGATGGACATGGTTGCCCACTGCTGAGGACTGGATGTCCTGCTGGGACTCCACTTAGCAGGAGTGTAATAGTAGTATGTATTTAGTAGAGAACAGCCCGGGGGAGGGGGTGCAGCGCTCTCAGAGGCCTGGGGTCTTTTAGGGACAATGAGGCCTTTAAATATTGACAGCAGAAGATTGGCTGTTGACCCACTGGGGCAGTGCTGCTAGAACTGGTTGTAAAGGTCACTTCACCAGCTTCCCTTTACATTGGAACCCAGCAGCCTCCAGACAAGACACATTAGTGCGAGTTCTTCTTATGCAGGTGAGCCTAAGAGGAAACACTGGATCCATCTTCATCTTAAAAACAAAGTCTTTCATATTGTGGTATTTTATTTTGTAAGTGGTGGAGTTACCAACTCCATTTCTACTTGTATAAGAAATAATCGTTCACAGTAAAAGTCATGATATAGCATTTTTGATTTGTTTAGGTGACAAAAGAAGTGTTGTATTATTGAGCAGGACTGCATTCAAAACTCATTTACCAGGTGACGTCCTGCGCCAGGTAAATTACATTTTTCTGCTGGATGAGAAGAATTACACTGTCTTAATGTAAAATATGTGATAGACTGTAACAATACACTCCATTATTTTTCAGTGATATATTTCCACATGTGACTTTTCTGTCTTTTCATTTAAAATACAACATAAAGCATGTACTACATAGCCTCCCTGCTACTGATGCTAATTAACAGAGATTTTTTTTATGTTATTGTAATCTCATATGTGTTTGATTTGTATGTGGGAGTATCCTTCCAGCTTCTATTGCAGTTATTTTGCTGGTGTTACTGACCTGCATCAACAACAACTGAGTTACATTTGAAATAAGACGGTCAATGATCTGTCCGAAGGTGAGGTTTTCATCGTCTAACTGGCTGTTGGGTAATGGACCAGGTGGACAGGACAACAAGGGCTCTACTGCCACAATGTGGTTATTTCAGTGATAATGTGTAAAAGTGTGTACAGAGGAGAAGTACATACCTTAAAGGTAGGACTTTTTGATCAGTGGAATGTTTCTGTGGAGTTCTGAAACAGACTTTAGATCGGTCTGTATCTGATTATTCTTCAGACTTCTGTTCATCATATAGATGACTGACAATCTTCAAACACAGAGATAACACTAAACTTCAGTGTAACAATCTCAACAACTTAATCTGCATGAGTGTTGTTTTCTGATGGTGACAGAACAAGGTTTATATCTGTAATAAAACAGTGAACTAGACACCACAGCAGCTGCAACGCCTTTTATGACACTACATTATTACATCAGTACTCAGTGGTCATTAGTACTTTATTGAGCTGAGCTACATTCATCATCTTGGCAGCGCCAGACTCCGCCTACCTCCTGACTAATCCAAAAATGGGTAAAGAGGTGGGACATGAGTGGAGCTGGGACTTTTGGTGCCACCAAAGTCTCCTGTCACTCAAAGAGGCCACGCCCTCAATTATACATAACTTTAAGACCTAATTTTGTTAGGTGATTTATATAAAAATTCACCGTACAGCTGTCGTTTTTGTATCAGGCTGTAAAGTTGGACATTTTAACATGGGAGTCTATGGGGATTGACTCACTGTTGAAGCCAGACTCTAGTGATCATTGGTTTTCGATGCTATCATGGTGATAACTGTCCACAGACAGACAGACAGACAGACAGACAGACAGACAGACAGCCGCCAAAGTCCTAAAAACCAGTTCCTGCTACAGATAAAAAAGATAAAAGACTGGGCTGATATGGATTCAGAGCATCAGGACTTAACACTCTCGGAGGGGGACCTGGGCCTCATTCATAAAACAGTGCTTAGAATTCATACTAAAAGTGTACGTGTGCACAAAAGCTGAAAACGGTATACGCAAAAAAGCGAGCAATGTTCCCTTTATAAATCAATGTGCGCATGTGGATCAACCTCATATCCCGCCATCCATACACCCACTTTCAACCATAAATGGTCAATGCAAAGCACCTCGTGAATGCTGATGCATATAAATGACCCTGTTGATCAATCGTTTCAGGAGGCTGATGACATCTGTACAACAGAGCATGCACAAGCGTGCACATAATTGTAGGGCATTTCTTTTGCACTCTGCAGGTTTGGCAATGGGGTGAGGAGCCAGTGCCTGAGGGGGGGCCACTCTCACCTGCAGGTTATAACAGAAAAACACACAGTGCCTGCTTGTAGTCTATTCCCAACATGGCTGTGTGCCAGGATAAAAGAATCATGTGTTGAACCAGGTGCTACCACATTTGTCAGGACATTTGTCAGAAGTCAGAGTGACATATGACTTGGACATTTATTGAATGCATGTGCTTTCTATTTATATGAGCACATTATTTTTCGGAAGGAGCCCTTATAGCAATGTAAGCGCAGTGAATCGCATGGATTACATTTGTGAAACCAGACATTGCTGCAAATTGCCTTTTGATGTCGGACTGTTCACCCACAGTGAAAGGGAACTCATTTTAATAATCCAATCCAGAACTGCGGGCATTATTGAACTCAGGGATGGCTGCGATATCCCAGACCTCAGGTAGAATTTTACAGAATTGTATTATTCCCAAAAGGGGCTTGAGGCAGACAGGTAAACATTATAGTGTTCATATCAAACTTATACTGTAGCTGTCTGCTAATTCCTGCTGCTGCTGCTGCTCAGAACTACCACAGCACAGCACTGCTCAGGGGCCTGGTGGGTGTTACATCTACCATGTCATTGTGAATCTGCATGAAGAGACCCGCCGATACTGACTCCACTCATCATCTGGTTATTGCTGTTTTTGTTAATTGAGTCGAACGAGGTAAATTCAGTCCACTAGTAGCATTAGCGCAGCAGTCCTCCACAAACCTCTGATGATTCACTGCTACTATCAGAAGTTATAACAACAGCCCTGAGGGGGATGCGGTGCTGAGGGCTGGTCACTGAGGACCTCAACAGACCTGGTTTTTTTTAAAGCGATTTTTTGAGCATTTTTCTTTCTTTTTATTCTTTATTCTGATAATTGCAGTGAGAGAGAGACAGGAAAGTTAGGGAGAGAGAGAAGGGATTACGTGCAGCAAAGGGACTTGACCCCGGGCTGCTGCGCCCAGGACCAAGATCCCATGGAGCGCTCTATCAAGTGAGCAACTTGTTTTTACACATACGCTATACTTGGACTGAGGGTCATGTGACAGAGGTTGCTGTGTGATTTGGGACTAGACAATTAAAGTTAAATTCAGTCATGGTCTTACCAGGTTGACTTGTATGGTCTTCTCCCAGTTCTTCTCATTGTTGATGCCAGCGTTGTTGATGACGATGTCCAGACGACCAAACAGGTCCACAGTGCTCTGGAAGGTGTCTACAAGAGCACAGGATCTGATCAGAGCTGAAAACCAAGACCTTCAGTCTCACAAAAAACTAATAAGACTAAAATAAATGAATGGGGACAGTGTGGGGTCAGAGTCAGCAGCATCATGGAGCTGATGACACCTGCACAGGTGGTCCATCACACTGGGGTGATGTTAGTGAGAATAAAGTGACTGATGTTTAACACTGATCAGGACCAGACATCAGACAAACTCGTGTGTCTGCCTGTTTTCTCCTGTCAGTCAGTAACACCTGAAACACAAACACGTTTCTCAATAAACCTGTTTTTAAACCTGAAACTCTTTATTAAAGAATCTGTATGTTTTCCTAAACAGTGAGGAGAGACCCTTCACTGCTCAGTTTGAACCTATGAGGCTAAACTGAGCTCAGCCACGTTTGGATGAGCAGCCACAGGCACTAGAGACACCGTGCTGCAGGACGAGCGGCTCGTTATCTCCTCACAGACATGCTTGGATAAACAGCTGAAACCTGTGGTTGTAATACCTGCTGCATTCCACACTCTGACACCTGGCAATTAGAAACAAACATACCTGCTTTTAACACACTCATCTGATCTGCATGACACACACACACACACACACACACACACACACACACACACACACACACACACACACACAAACACTATCACAGTGAGGAGCAACACCAAACAGCATTCCTGAGCTGTTAGCCTGCAGGGATTTACTTTTTCAGTGTCAGACAATGAAACCTTGTTCCTCTCTCACTCGCTTTGACACACACTTACTCATTTACACACACTATATTTCTCTGCTTCCTCTCTTTCTCACCCAGACACGCCCCCCCCCACCCCCCCCCCCCCCCCCCCCCCCCCGCCCCCCCCAAGAACAGGAGGAGGTAAGTGATGAGCAGCAGTGTGGATCCTGAACACGTGTTGGGCAGGCGTTCTAAACCACAAACTGACACACAATGAAATAAATGTCATTTGAGAACAAGAGCGGACAAGCTGAGTTTGAGCTGGACCGCTGATGTAACCTGTTCAACCTGCTGGTGTCGCACATGCACATGTCACAGAAGCTGCTGGACTGTCACACCCAGTGACTGCAGCTGCAGCTCAGAGGCAGAGACTGTGACTTTCTCCAGGAAAACGTTTTGAGTGCCAGACAAAGATTGTCCCTGTTTTTGCTTTTTGAACTTGCTTACTCATTCATCATGAGGAAGTTAAAAAAGGGCAGGCAAAGTACAACCTTGTTGTGCAGTGATCTCTATAAATACATGTTGTGTCACTCAATTAGTAGCAGGTGATGTGATGTCAGTTCTCTGTCTTCTGACAGGCAGTATTACCTCTCAGTGCGTCTCCGTTGGACACGTCACACTGAATGAAGGTGCAGTTGCCCTCTCCAAACTCAGCATCCAGCTGTGTCTTGCACTCCTCACCGCAGGTCTTGTTCAGGTCGACCACGGCCACCTGGAGGACAGACTTCTGTTAGTGAGCTGAACTTCTCAGATGAACAGTGCAGAGATGGATCCAGACATCAGCACCTGACGTGATCCAGCTCTGCAGGACTACATCGCTGTGCTGAGTTAGGCCTGTGGTTTGACAGATGTGGTTTGACACTGTTCTGATGAGGAACCAAAATATGAGCGTAATGACACATTCATCTTCGAGCTGCACCACATTCAGCCTCGTTCCACAGGCGTGAAAGAAGTTCTCAGAAACCTTTGACATGCTGTTTAAGCATTATGACACTGGTCTCATGATTAAAACTCACACTGTTCTTAAGTTACATATGAGAAATTCCCACTGGCTCCGTTTCAACATGTACCGATCTAAGAACCTCTAAAAGCTATTAAAATACATGTGATGAAGACAAAAGGCTATCATCCGTTTTACACAGTGAAAACAACCACATTAAAGCTAAAGCTGCGCTGCTGTAAAATCATTGAGCTGCAGACAGTTCCAGTTCACTGAGAGCTATTCTAGTAAAGTGAGACGGTGAGACTGAGCTGTTGGAGCAGCTGGATCACACGTCATTTAAACAAACAAACAACAGTAGTGAAGTTCACTCACACTGAGCCGTACTGACCTTGGCTGAGCTCTGCAGCAGTAACTGAACCACGGCTCTCCCGATGCCCTGAGCTCCCCCGGTCACCAGAGCCACCTTCCCATTCAGAGACATGATCCCAGCACACCAGCAAAACCCCCCACTCTTGGTCTGTCTCACTCTGAGCCTCCTTCTTCTTTTTCTTTTTCTTTTTCTTCTTCTTCTTCTTCTTCTTCTTCTTCTTCTTCAGGTCTCCTCTGTGTTCATACACCTCTCTGCTTTCTGTAACACAATCAGAGACGCTCTCACACTAAGCTTGGCTGTTTTCCCTCCCTCCTTCCCTCCCTCTCTCTCTGACACACATGCAGTGTTTGTATAGACTGATAAGCTGAGAGAGAGAGAGAGAGAGAGAGAGAGAGAGAGAGAGAGAGAGGTAGTCAGAGGCTAAGTAAACTCTGGAGGATAATAATTACATGTTTTACCCAGCTTGCTGTACCTGCCTTCCTGCCTCCTCCTGCTTCCTTTAACTCCTCCCACTCCTGTCTCATATACACACCTGAGCTCCTCACACAGGTCACAGTTGTATTTATTGACATGGAGAAGAAGCTGTCAGTCTCACTCGTCACAGAATGGACGAGTGATTCTGTGTAACTGTTGTTACCCAGCATGCAGTGCTGTTCAGCAGTACATTACACCAGGGCTCAGCTCTCTGAATGTTGATTTTCATGCTGAGCTGAAATGAATGGAAACCAATAGCCTAGCTGCTAACTGCTAAGCTAACAGGTAAAAATACCAGTTTGGTTCTTTAAGTAAAGCAAACAGTGAAGTTCTATCATGTCTTCAGTGTGGGATTTTAACAAAGAAATAACCCATGACTTATTCTTTCACATCACATTCAGCTATAGGAACGTCTCTACAATACCCTCCTCCTCCTCCTTGTTTATACCCTTCCTTCCGTCCTCCTCCCTATCTCACTTCCTTCCTACATCCTTAACCATGGGTCTGATGACGTTCAGCACCATCACCCATCAGGTTTCTCAGAATCTCCCAGACCAACAACAATTGATGAAGAAACCCAGCAGAGGATGGACTTCCTGCACCAGGAGAAGGAGTTCTACCTGCCCCACCATTGGCTGATTGGTCATGTACTGTATTACAGTCCTGGTTGGGCTGGCCACCGCACAGGACAAGAGGCTGCAGCTGACAACTGTAGAACAGACTACTGGCTCCAACTTGCCTCCTCTCTTTGTGACCGACAGACGGCAAAAGGCAGGTTGGTTATCTCCTCACAGACGAGTTTCTCTCAGCTAACCCTGCAGTCAATGTGCATACAGTATAAAACAACTTTTTACACCTAAATTAGCAGGTAGAGGCAGGTTTTTTTTTTTTTTTTAAATGCGGGTAAACCTGCTTACAAAGGTGATTAACACCTTTTCCAAGAGGAGTTTGCCTTTCTGTTTGGACTGAGTACACACACACACACACACACACACACAACTGCAGGGAGCAATGTCATTACAGAGCACACACACAGAGACAGAGGAGAAAGAGTGAGCTGCTTGCCGCTGGGTTGGTGCTCCTGTCTCTGTGTGAGACGCTTCGGTCGGTGATGGTATGTTTTTAAAACTTATTTCAGGGCTGCAGCTGTCAGAATCATAGGTCAGACCCAAATGCAGACACTGGAGAGGCAGGTAAGGATTTAATCTTAAACTAATTCAGATTCTTCAACAGATAACAGGTGAGTGGTGGTGAGCTAGTTGCTGGTTAGACAGGCTGGAGGGAGGCTGGTAGCTGACTGTGATTCCTGGAGACAGAGGGAGGTGTAAGATTCAAGACTTGCAAGATACTATGATTATAGCTGGAAGCCTGGCACACTAACAAACTGTGTAGGATACTGTGATCCAGCGGTGGCTGTATGTTGCAGCAGGGGGTTTCTGGCCGGTGGAAGAGGTGCTTAACAATGGGGAATCGTCAGGGCCTTATCACATGACACATAACATATAACATTTAAATGCTGATATAACATATCAGGAAACTGGCTTTTTGAATAGGTGCGCTCGCTGTCTTCATTCGACCCTCCTAGAGTGAAAACTCAACAGAACATAGTGGGGACACTGACAATTTGTAGGCAGACATGAAAACAAGTATAACCAAAGCTCCTCAGCTGGTAGTTGAATAAAAAATTTGCTTTCATGTTGAAAGAAGTGAAGAAAAAGAAGTTTCTTGACTGTAATGGACTTCACGTGACAACATTCATTAACTGGAATACTTCAAGGAAAAGCCCATTGATTATGGACTGAAGGAATATAAATAACTTTGGAAATAAGTCAATCTTCATGACCTCCTCAAATGTAGGGAGTAGGTAAATTCAATGAAAAGGATCCAGAGACTTTCCTCTTGCTATTTGAATGTGTCGCTCATGGAAGAAATTGGCCAGTCGGCATATGCTTTAATGTTGCAGTGTGTACTTTCAGGCTGGGTGCAAGAGGCTAATTTGTCTTTAACATCTTTTGTGTGTCAAAATTATTCCACTGTTAAGTCGGCAGCACTAAAAGCGTACGAGTTGGTTCCTGAGGCGTACCGGCAGAGTTTTTGGAAGTGGAGGAAAGGAGAGAGACGGACACGTGATCTGACAGGTCATTTTTCTCATTCTGCTCTGGATGTCAGTACTTTTGGTTCATTGTGTGACTTGGTAGTTTTAGAACAGTTAAAAAAATTGAGAATATTGCTGTTTATATCAATGAGCAAAAAGATAAAAATGTAACTGATGTAGCTGCTTTGGCGGATGACTATGTGGTCACGCATAAGCGTACTTTTGGACAGCCTTACTCCAATGGAGATGGTGCAGCTGCAGGTGGTACATGTTTTTCTGAACATCCTGTGAAGCCTTTTATGTCAGAATCAAGAAATGGGTATGGTATGCATGATTCAGACAAGGTTTGCAATTTCTGTCACAAGGAAGAGTGACTGCTATGTTTTGAAAGCTAAGTCTGGGCAGGCTGTGGGTGCTGCACAAGTTCATTGGGTTCTAGTTCTAAGTTCTAGTGTGTCTGTAGTTGAGGGGCAGATAAGGGCACAAAATCATGGTAGCCTTGTGTGAGGGCCAGTATAGGTAAGAACAGCACTCCTTACAGGTAAAGGTGAGGAGCAACAGGTAGGTGCAACAGCACTACCTCTTGGAGGCAAAGCCAAATAGAGCTTCCTGCCTTTTTATAAGGCCAGGCAGAGCCGTTTCTTGTTTTATGTGGACAATGCAGATGCATAGGGCCCCTGCAGCCACTAGCAGCAAGTTCAGCATCAATATATTTGGGGAGAATTAAAATGACCTGTCTTTGTAGCCAGCCAAGCCTCCTCATGTGTTTAGTGAAGCAAAATTCAAAAATTAAATGTAGGATATAAACAAAACTAAGCTGCAATGACAGGGAAGCTGTGGCTGGTTTTTGTGGGGTAATCAAGTCAAAATCATCATTATTCTGTCAGGCAATGAGTGATGTCTGCTGATTGGTATGCTGGGATGACTGGCAGCTGCACATCACGTCAGTGAGGAGAATAACAGCAGCGTTAGTTATGGTATCATGACATCAAAAAGAATATATGCATGTGGTGCAGAAAAAAGAAAGAAAACTGAAGAAGAAAACGCTCACAGGGAAAAGGTAAGGCATTTGTTAATGATGTAGATTCACTTGTGGGGTTTTGTCTTGCTGGCTAGCTCAGCTAGCCTCTGTGAAATTGATAACTTAGCTAGCTCACCTAGTTATGCAAATAAATCCAGCTTTATACAGTGTGTGCTTAACGAAAAGGCTAAAATGAAATTGCCATTTGAATGGACTGTGCTATGGGACTGACTGACTGAAGTGTTGTGACCTGTTGTGTCGGATTATAGCAGGCTGCAGAGCATTACACTTTGGGAGGGAGGGTGTGTTGTTGGGAAAATGTCTGTGATATTGTCGTCCGGTGGGTGTCGCCTCTCAGTCATAGACCTCATATGCTGTTAATTATTTACCACAGTAACATTACTTTAGGATTGTTTTTAGGATTATTGTATTAAGTTTAGTGTGTTTTCATTTTATAGGTATATAATGTGAAGTGTGCTTTATATCATACTATTTTTAGCCGAGAGAAATCTTGCATTGAGAGGTTTGGCAAACACATTACACCAGCAAAATAATGGAAACTCCTTAAAAGAGGTGGAGCTTCTCGCCAAATTTGAGTCATTCCAGGTATCTTGGAAATGCGATCCAAAATTAACCGATTGCTTCAATCAGTGGGAAGATGTTGGACATGATGGTGA